GCTCTCTGGAGCCCCCTTGGCTGCAGCCGCCTCAAAGGAATAAATAATCGGGGACCGCGCACTTTTTATTCTTTACCTCGAAGGATACACATACGTGCGCGCGCGCGCGCGCACACACACACACACACACACACACACACACACACACACACAGTCACTCGCCTAGATACTGGCAGGCAGGCCGATTCCGGGGGTCAGCCTGTCCTGCCGCCGCCTGCCTGCCAGTCTCCCACGGGTTTGCATCTGCTGCGTGGAGGCCGCTCGGCCACCCACTTTTGCCAGGGATAACTTACCCCCTTGGATGCTGCTGCTGTGTGTGTGTGTTGTCGCGGCGCTCACTTTGCTGCCTCTTTTCACGGTGGCGACCGCCGCTTTTGGCGCGGCTCTTTAAATATGAATGGGACAAGGACAAACAGGCAAGAAACGCGGGAAGAAAAGCAGCATCAGCAACAAAACAAAAAACAACATCAGGCGGGCAAACACTGACCCAAACTAAGAAGAGGAGACTGTTATGTAGAAAGTTCAATGAAATAAAACTTGATATTGTAGTCCGTCACGCTCCCGATAACACTACCAAAGATGTCTGTATAATTACGAAAAGAGTGCACTTATCACGAAACAGTGGAGCTTGCGTTTTGTTCGTAATACGTAGCAATGGCTCGTTGCTTTTCACATTTTGGATAACGGGGCCCTTTTCGTCATCGTCGGCCTCGAGGAGGATAAGGTTCAAATTCTGCGGCCGCTTTTTTACATTTTTATTAGTTTTGGTCGTCACTCTCCTTCATCTCTCCGAAGTTTCCCGTTTCGCCTAGGCGTCACTATACTGCCTGGCGCCGCGCGCATCATTTGGCAGAAATAGATGAGAGAGAAGGCCGCTTTAAAAATAAAGGCTTTTGTCTTGTTTGGTGCGCGTCGTCTGAGCCCGCTCCGGCACACCCCGCTGCCCGCCGCGCCCCCACCTCCAACCTCGCCTCACGCCCGGAGGGCACGAGACTTAAAAACGGAAAGGCCACGGCCTCGTCGCCCCCCGCCCGGCCCATGCCGCTCCAGGGTGTCGTATCATCGCTTTGGTGCACGGCGGAAAATCCGTCATCGAAAGTTGGTCCAATACGGTATATAAAAATAGCTGCTTCAAAAAATCAATCTCTTGTCATGCTTTTGCAGCAGGCGGAAGCGGAGGGATAGTAGTTCAGGTCAAGACCGGGGATGTTGAGTACAGAAGCGGAATAAGGTTCCTGGGAAGCTAGTTAGACAAACCGGCAGCAGGGTCAGTCCAGAGACAGAGTGCCGCCCAGAGGCTGGGTGGAGCGGGC